CAAGGTGAGCATAAAGTCTATATCTGATTTCAAATATGGTACAAATCTATTTTAATATAAAACAAAAGTGTCTCTCTTCCTGTTTTCAGTGCCATGTGGAATACAGGTTCACTGCCTCACCACACTTCTGTGTTTTTCATAGAAAGAAGGCATTTTTCAGGGTGGAGTTGCCAAACAAATACCAAACTTGTTTGGAATTCAGAGGTGTTCTTAATCTAACCTAGCTGTCAACCTAACTTAGAGAGTCCATTCTGCACTGCTATTTAATAATATGGAACATTTCATCCTTCTGCAGTAGGATAAGACCCCAACTACAGATTAAAAAATTTTACTACTTCCCAAACCAAGTAAATGCTTACAGACTCAAATATAAGCAACCAATATTTAACTATGTCAGAGACAACTAAAAGCTTACAGACTCATATATAAATGACTAATTTTACTTATCCTCAATCCAAGTAAATGCTTATTGGCTCAAATAAAAATAACCAATACTTACCTATCACAAAATCTAAATAAATGCTTATAGACGCACGTATAATTAAGAAATAATTACCTATCCTTGAACAAAGTAAATACTTAGTGACTCAAATATAACTTTAAAAAATTTGCTTTTGACATTAAATAAACCATCAAGGGTTGACATGTCTTAAAATCAATGAACCAAACTTACATGATTTACATTGTTCAGGCTGTTGTCCTCATCTTTGTCGCCATATTTGCAACGTTTTGGCCATTGTACATTCCTGACTTTTTCAGGTGATTGTAATTTGAAACCAAACCATTTATATTGTTCACTGGGGTAGATTGTTCTAGTTCCACGTGTCATGCTTCGGTGGACAAAATAAAGGGTTTAGCTCAAAATTCCTATCACATGAAGAAGGCCAGAGCATAAAACGGCTGATACATCACGACAATGGTAATAAAGATAACAACAGTCCAAAACATGTAAATAACATTTAAGTAACAACAGTCCAAACAATGTAAATAATTACGATAACTCATCTCAGAAACATAGAAAAATGTGTTTTTGTATCTGTCTATTAGAATAACAGTTTAGAATAAACTTGCTTAAATGTCAATTTTGGCAGCCATCGCTTAAAGTCAGATCATTTTTTATACAATTGATATGATCATCATTTGTTAATAGGTGAATGTTTAGCAAAGGAACAAATGTTGTTAAGGGCTATAATGGATAGGAGGCTGTGGAGATTCATTATCCCCCATGTCCTGAAATGACATGGCATGTAGAAGAAGAAGAATTATCACAAATCTTATTTATTATTTATCATCATTGGAATGCTACCAAAGGTGAAGGAGAGGAAACAGGTCAAGAAAATTAAGTTAATAGACCTGGAGTTATCTCCCTTACACATTACCTCAGGTATTTATATTCATTTAGAATAACTTAGAAACTGAATGGTCCAAATGAAGAGAAAATTTATTTATTTTCCATGTGAAACTATTTTAACTGCATTGTGCTAATAAATGTATTACCACACAAAATCATTTTTGCTATGCTTGGGTAACAAATAGAAATCAAATCATTATAGCAAAGATAATGTTTTTATCTTGTATAGTTTCAGATTTGATTGTATGCAGCCAAAGAGGGATTTTATTCTTATTCTATATTTCTTGCCAAACTGATTGATTTATTGATTGATTTAATGGCATATCAACTCCTTTATAGATCATTTAATGTCAAAATTTAGGAGCTTTGAAGTAATAAAAACATTATATATGTTATCCTGCCTTCACAATTGAATACATGGTAGATGATACTCAGCTTTTGTACATATACATGCTTGTGTAGGCATAATTAAGCGAGGCAGTGATATGCGTGTTTTATGTTTTAGTTTTGGGGTTCAAGATATGTCTTGGAATACAGTTTGATTTAAGAAGTTCTATATCAAAGAGTTCTTTCATGTTGGTTGTTTGGTTAAATTTCTTTAGTAGCATATCAAGCTCTACGGGTTATTTAATGCTGAAATCTAAATATTTTGAATGCAATTGTATGCCTTCAATTACAGATAAAAAGTATTATTGGTAGTAATTCTACTATAAATAGGTATTGTTGGTAATTTTTTTATATAAAAATGTACTGATGGTATTTTTACTACAAAAATGTATTTTTATACTTTCATAGGGTTTTGTTTTGGGGGTTCACTATTTGCCCATAGATGGGTCCCTAACATGTGCTACCATCCCAAGTCAGGGTGGACCTGGGAAAAAACATAATTAAGAGGTGGTTCCACACTCCTCAAAACCTCCAATTTCTTGATTAGAGGCCCTGCTGCCAGATGTAGTTTATGGTCATACCCAGGACTATCCAAGTTGAACACTAATATTACAAGTACTACAGATTCCAAAACTTTTCTAGATTAAAAAATTTCGCAATATAAATAAATGTCAAATCCATTGCTTTGCCACTATCCTATGCTAAGAATTTTAACCATTCTTTTTATAGTTCATTTGATTCTTGAAACTTCTATAGGAATTTTCAGTATTTTGTTTGTTTATTTTTTTCATTTTATTAATGGATGTCAAAAATATCATCCACAAAAGTTCAATACTTCATTGGAATTCAGCCTTGTATTGCTACTTAACATCAACACTGATGCTTAATACTTTTTCAGAATAATTGCCACAGTTAAATATAAACGAAATTAGTTTTAAAAAACTATTACAAAATTGAAATATCACCAGGGACCTCAATACCCAAAAGTTAATTAGTCTGTCAGCTGCTAGAATTTTAAGTGCCCTCTCAGAATTTTGTCTGGAGTCAGAAATCTTCAACCATCAAGTTTCAGAATAACAATAAATGTAACAAGATTTGAATTTTACTAATACATCGATCTGCAATTTAACAGTTATATGAGAGAAGAAGTACTTGTTAAGTTCAAAGTCTGGTAAACACAAATTTAATGTAGGAGACTATTTTTAAACACATAAGACAATGAAAGAAGAGCTATGTACACCAAGTACATAATGTGAAATTAGCTCTTATTAAACAAAGCAGACTTACCAACATGGAAGAATCAATGTGAAATTTTCAAGGGAATTATTATTATTAATTTTTAAAGATTTAGATAATTCATTAACATTTCTATTTAGCAAACCTGCAGCCAAATTTTCTTAACCAGCTAAAGCTATGATTACATCTCACCAGATAACTAAAAAAAAAAATGTCTGAGTCCAGCCCAAGCTGATATATATTTTTTTTAAATCCATTCCAGACCCAAACACAATGCAGTCATAAAATTGGTTAATTCTGAAATGTGGTAAAATGGAGTCTATTAAAATGGAAGGTTACTATATTAATATAAGGTTTTTATATTCCATGCTAATAGGAATATGGAATGGACAAACATGGTGGATAAATAGTAACAGGTTTATTGTAGAAAACAGTACACCAAGCAAGGAAGTAATAGTTATACACAAGTAAGTATTGTTGTATGTGTGCTGCTATCGGAAGGCTGCTAGTTCTCACAGATCCCAGCTTGACTATCGCGTACACTATCCTAACGGATACTTATAGGTTGTTACCACTTATAGTGCCACCACACATGGGGGTGGCAGGTTATTCCATTACATCAGGTTAACATTGTCTGAAATAAATTGAATGAGTTATCATGAATTATTAAATTGCTTGTTTGTCTTTTGTAGGGAATGACTGGAGTTACAGAGGCACTGCAGGTAAGTGGAAATTATCATTTAAAGTGGAATTTTACCATTTAAAAGATCTTAGATGACAATTCTTATTTCACAATCCTGATATTAATATATTAAAACAAGAAATGTGGCCCCAAGATTATCAACACAAATCATTTGGAATTGTTCACTTGCAGAAGGACTTGCAGAAAGACTTGCAGAAGGACTTGCAGCTGCATGTCCACTTATACTATATCTGCAGTATTGTCACAAGAGGGTCACCTGGGCTGAAAGCTTAACTCTCTTATCTTCAGCGATGAGAGCAGGTTTTTTTCTATCATGCCAATACAAAATAAACCGTGGGAACAATATCATCCAGAATAAATTCACCCATGACACACTGGCCCAATAACTGTCATTACAATTCTTGTTTGCATTTGGTGTTTGTGAAAGGAATGTTGAACAGTGTCATGGACCTTGTTTAACCCATTTTGTTGCCATTCCTGCAAAAGAAAGATGTGGAGCACTCCCACTTGTCTTTGCCAAATGCCTGTTGGGTGGTGCTGTTTAAGTCTATGAAAAGACAAACATTTCCTTCCTTTTCCTCTTTCTTCAGTTTGATCCATGATGTAGCCGTGCATAGATGAGAAAATCCCTACTGGGTCACATTTGTTTCCCCAGACCACACGTGTGTATCACACATGCTTGGATCACACACACATGAATAAGCACATTCTTAATAGCTAAGTGTTGAACATTTTTTCTTTACTGCCAATAATGTACACATTAATATAATTTCATTTGTTAATACACATATAATTGTTTGTTTAAATGTTATGTTTTTGTGTCTTGTCTTTGCCCAGACTCACATGAGACTGCCAAATATTGTTTGTGGGACAATGTTTCAGGGGCCATTAAATATTTACAGAAAAACTTCCACACTTCACAACAAAATGTGTGACTCTCACAACAAAAGCAATGTTGAATTTAATATATATGAGGGAAGGCACCCAGATATTTTCTTGACCTGATCCACTTTGTAAAATCAGACCAAATAACCTTTTTCTTAAATCCCTTCTTCACTGGGGTGTAAACTTTTCCATACCTATTCATAGATTTATCAATGATATATACATAAATAACACTCAGAAAGATGTCTTTATTGCTTATTTTTTTGCTTTTAATTTCTTTTTCACCAAATTTTAGGTCCAAATTTTTGGCACCAACTCTTCAAAACATGTTCTGGTTCAAAACAATCACCTATCAACATCATTACCCAGGACACTGTCTATGATCCAACACTAACAGAGTTTGCTATCTGGTTTAATCCCCCACACCCACATGATCACATGACAGTGATCAACAATGGACACACAGGTGAGAATAACAAACCACTTCCTTCTTCAACAATTGGCAACAGGAAATTTCTTGTTCTTGAACTTCTTTCTAATTTTATCTTTCCACAAACCTTTGAAAAATCAATTTTTAAAATTTATGCATTCAGCTTCAGTATTTTTTTTCTAAATCTTTTAATTAAATTCTCTCTATCCCACATATTGTTTGAAGGACTATTTCTATGTGCTTGTGTTCCTTCAGAATATTGGCAATCATGGCTTTCCATAAGTTCCTGTCCTTTGTGGCTCTTAATTTATTTGGATTTCTCTCTTCATTTAATTCATTACCTTCTGAGGCTAAGTATTTTCATCAATCACCGTTTTTTTTCTTTTTTTTTTTTTACAACTTTCGAAGTTGGATAGCTTCTGATTGTTAAAAGAAGTAGCATGAGGTAGAAATAAAGAAAGTGTTTGCATTCTTTATTCTTCTTTCTTGCTCCTCTCTTCAAGTAATATGTTTATATTCTTTGGATCTCAGTTTAATGGAATTCCTACTTTACAATACATCTATTTTAGTATCTGTCTGTATTTCTGAGATAAGGTATTATGTACACTATTTACAATATTTGGACTATTGTCCTCATCTTTGTCACCATATTTATTAAAACGTTACGGCCTTTCAGTATCTGTCTATATTTCTGAGATGAGGTATTATGTACACTATTTACATTATTCAGACTATTGCCCTCATCTCTGTCGCCATATTTATTACAACGTTTCGGCCTTTCAGTATCTGTCTATATTTCTGAGATGAGGTATTATGTACACTATTTACAATATTTGGACTATTGTTCTCATCTTTGTCGCCATAATTATTACAACGCTTCAGCCTTTAAGTATTTGACTATATTTCTGAGATGAGGTATTATGTACACTATTTAAATTATTCGGATTATTGTCCTCATATTTGTGACCATATTTATTACAATGTTTCAGCCAATGTACACTCCAGCCTTCTTCAGGTGGTTGGAATGTCGAACTGAACGCTTTATTTTGCTCACTGGGGTAGACTGTTCTAGTTCCACGTGCCATTTCTTTGGAGAAATCAAGTCTTACCATTTTCCCAGGAAATGTTTTGATTACAATCCTAATTATTTTTACCAATTTCAACATTTCAGCCAATTTTGAAGCAACTTCGCAGTATTTTCCTTCATTTTAAAATCACATTTTGTTGATCACCACAAATCACTTATCTGACTTTAAATGCCTCATTGGGAAAATCTAATTTTGTATATAAAAATAATCATCACAATAATTATTTCTCTACAGAAAGCCTTGATGGCAATGATTTGATCTTTTAGTTCTCTTCAACATTGCTTTCCAAACACAATTAAGTTTTCATTGTTACTGAAAACATCATTTTCTTTATCTTTGCAGTTAAAGTAAAAACTATTGGAAAGTTTTACATTACGAATGGGGGTCTTCCAAATGTTTACAAGACTGCCCAGTTACATTTCCATTGGGGTTTAGACAATGACCAAGGATCAGAACATCAGATTAATTCAGCCGTTTATCCCATGGAAGTGAGTATTTAAAATCTGTGAATATGTGAGAAACAATTTTCATACATCCAGACAATAATCTTGAGAGATTTTGCATAATTTTCCATTGATTAAAATTATAATCAGAGATACAGACATCAGAGTAAAACCCAAACAAAGCACTCAAATGGGACAACAAAAGGTCAATTCTCCTGAAAAAAAAACACACATTATATGTGTACTAGCAGCATGACTCGGCGTTGCCCGTGCTTGATTCAAAAATCGTACAACTCATACAGCAATCGCTATCACTTGACTTAAAATATTTTTACCCTTCATTGCCTTTAAAGGAGTGTCTTTACTGTGCTGATTTTGCTACATGCCTTACTTCTTGCCTATCTCACACTGCGAATTTTTTCTAAGCTCTATACTAAACATTAAATCTATTATGAAAAAAGAACTAAACAAAATGAACACAAAACGATCAGCCTTAACAAAAGGACTCATAACTGGAAAAACCGAATGAAAAAAGAATGTTAACAAGAAATACTTTTTCAGACCCAACCCAGTTCTGTGGAATCAGAATCAACGTTGAATTTAAGCAAGCGAATGAGCCAATTGGAGTAAAGTGCCATGCAGATTTAAATTTTTCCCACTTGTGATGAATGCAGCTATCAATTTTTTTTGCATGCTAGCATGAAAGTTAACATTCGTGTCAGTCAGCTGTTGGCTCTCACGCTGGCCAATAGAATCTTCCTGCCTATTCGTGGCAGCCAGCTATAAGCTCTCACTCTGGCCAGTAGAAAATCGCTGCAAACTATATGAAAACTGCCGTAGAAGCATGAAAAAATCGATTATTTCCACTATCGACGGGAGTTGGGAAATGCAAAGTTGGTCTTGGCCTTCCCGCTAACTTGGAGCATGTGCATGTAAATTTTGGTGCAAATCCACTGAAAATTGCAGCCACACATTCATTACACACACACACACATCCTGCCTTTTATAGATAGAGATATATGATAAAAATATAATTTTAAGTTATGCTATATTTATGGGTAAAATATCAGAGATAGAGCATACATAAATATAAAAGTGGACACTGAGATCAACACCAAGCTGTGACAGTCATTCGTAGTTAATTCTCAAAATGTAGACACAAAACAAATTTTTACTACTTTACTTAAAAATCAACAACTAAAAAGGAATACATTGTAAAATACCACTATGATAAATGCAAATATATATATATATATATATATATATATATATACACACACACACACACACACTATATACAATGCAGATAATGCAATATTATTTAGAAAAAGCCAATACCTTAAATTAAACAAATAAGATAACCAATCCAGAGACAAAAATAAAATAAATTCAAAAATAAATAAATAAAACAAATAAAAAATTAGAGTAAATAATAAATAAATTAACAAACTATGAATAAACACAAGTAAATGCAATAATAATAATCAACAACAAAAAATTAATTAATCAATAATAATAATGAGTAAAAAGTTAACAAATAGCAGCAAATAACTTCATTCAGATCCACAATATTCCCCCTCAGTAGTCTTTTTGTGATGAACGGTGGCCACTAATAATTAAGTATAACTCAAGACTTCAATGTTAAAATAAAACAGTATTTAATTACAACCACAAATAAATACTTAACAAGAACAAAGAAGTAAAGGTCAACCAAAGCTAATTAACCATTTTAGTGAATACCTTGTTAGTACTGCAGATCAGTTTAACATCCAATAAATCCTAAATCAAAACCCAATTCATCGTTGCACAATAATTCACACTAATCCAACCGGATAGTTCCACTCACTAGTCACTCCAGTTAGTAGCCTGACATGATTGTTTATGCAACTGGCAGAAAACATATTCATAAGTCTAGAGTGTCACAATTGAGCCTTTGTGTTGGTAGTTAATCATTTTCTTCCTATATGACAAGACTATAGAATAATTTGAGACATAAACATTAGGATAGACCTTACTACCAAGAATGCACCATTAACCAGCATATATAAATAGTTGGGCCAAAAGAAAATACACATGGCCTTAAGATTACATTCAAACATGAAATAGACTGTCACTGCTTAGTGCTGATTCCAGTGTTCTACTTTGTTTTGTTTTTGAGTTTCATTAATGACCTCCTCAATAGCATCAGCTCCCAATTTGGTATCTATGCTGATGACACAACCATTTACTCCTGTCTCAGTAGTAAGTCTGATCAGTTAAATAAGGTCAAAATCAAAGCTGATATCCAAAATGACCTTCAGTCTGTTACCAACTGGGGCAAATAATGGTTTGTTAATTTTAATGCCTCCAAAACTAAACTGCTCTCTATTAATCACCTGAGAGACTCCTCACTGCCTTCCATCAGCATGGCTGATGCTAACCTCCAGGAGAGTGACTCACTGCACCTTATTGGGCTAACATTCTTAGTTGAGATGAAGTGAAAAGATTATATCGAATCTACTGCTAGGTCAGTTGCTAGGAAGGTTGGATTTTTCTCTCCATAGTCTACCTTTCATATCTAGAAGTCTACCCTTTATCTATGCTTAGAATATTTTTATCACATATGGTCCTATGCTCTTGCTATTTATCTAGATCTCCTTGATAAAATCCAAAGAAGAATCAGCAATATCAATGGCCCCAATCTAGCAGATCAGCTTCAGTCACTTTCCCACTGCCATAAGGTTGCCTCCCTTTGCCTTTTCTATAAATATTTTCATGGTAATTGTTTGGATGAACTCTTCACTATGATGCTTATACTCTTTGAATTTAAACACTGTACCAGGCTGGCAATGAGGTCTTACCAATTTACAGTTGAGCTGCCTATATGTAACCATAAATTCTATGCTAACAGTTTCTTTTCTAGCACTTCTCACTTGTGGAACTCTCTTCTGTCTCCATGCTCTCCAGCCAACATTAATCTTCAAAAATTTAATGCAATGTCAATTGTTATCTGCTGTCCCCTTGATTACTATTCCTCTGTTCTCACTCCTTCACAATTGTTCCTGTTTCTAACCCTGCCACATCTAGTAACCCTCTGTGTCTCAGTGGCTTTACTATCTTGCTTAGGGTGAACTCAATTAAAACAACAAAAAAACCCCCAAAAAACAGGAAAATTTTATTTCTAATAGGCCATCAAAAGAATCAAACAGACACAACAAACTGCTCAACCCACAGAGATGGGCAATTCATATATGTTTTATAGGTGTTGATTTTCATAAGGTAAACAGTAAATTTAAAATAAGATTTTAAGAGAGTGACACTGTTTTCTCTCTCTTTCTTTTTTGGACAGTACAGCCACTAAAACACAAGGTGTTACTGAGTGTGTGGAAGAATTAGGGACGGATAGATTAATAATGATCAGTGTGGTTAAAAGAGGGCAAAAGAATGTTTTTAAATGTAGCAGGAATATATAGATGTCTCATATGTACACAATATATAGATGTCTCATATGTACACAATATATAGATCTCATATGTACACAATATATAGATGTCTCATATGTACACAATATATAGATCTCATATGTACACAATATATAGATGTCTCATATGTACACAAACTGAATCCAAGCATACATTCTTATTTAACCTGACTTTCAGTTCACTTGATGTATATTTATAACCGTTTTTAAATTTAAACATTTGAAAAAACTAACAACATTTTTAATTTTCTTTATAAATGAAATCCTTACATTTGCCTTGATAAAGTCTATTAAACATGTCAGCTAAAATAAGCTTTCATTTTACCTTTGTTCATACATTCTCATATATATATATATATAAAAAGTCAGCAGTCTTCAATCAAAGTTGTATTAATGAAGGACTGTTGTCTAAATCCATAATATGTGTATGTATATACTTTTCCCATTTAGTTCTTTTATTTTGTATCTTATTCATATATTTCCTGTACACTAAATTGAACGAACACAATGTACTTCATTCAAATTATAAAATATTCTGTTCAGAAATGTCATACATTTGCTTGCATTATGAATTCAATAAGTTAGACATTTATTAAAATATTAATTAATTTCATGTTATTTTTTTTAATTTCATTTTTTTTTTTTTCCAAAGAATATTTTCCCTTCATAACTCAGTGAATAATATTCTAAAATATCCAACAAATGGTTTAGGATATAAATGAAATAAAAAAAAAAAGAAGGAAGTCAGCATTTTAGCAACCTACTTTATGGCTGTGTAAGGATAAAAGTTGTGTAGTCATTATAAACATAATAGATGAAGTCTATGTCAAAACAGAATGATTGATCTATATCTATTAACATGAAATTAAAAGGAGCAAAACTTAGTTGTAAATCTTGTGCTGCTATCATGGTAATAAATATGTCTGTCTTTAACAATTTGGTGTTATTACATCTTGGTAGTAATTCTGTTTTAATATACATGTATGTTTAGGTAAGCATTTAGGTAAGAATTTACAACACTGTAATAATAATTCTGTTGGTTGGAATTCATTCAAGGATTTTCATTAAAAAAAAAAATATAGTAGAAATACACAAGAAAAATTTATGGAAAATAAGAATTGATTACAACAATTTCAAATTTAAAGAGTTGATATTTATATCAATATTATGTCTTCGAATATTTCCTACTAACTGAAGACCGATTTGTAAAGTGGTGATATTTTTTAAACTTTGCATCCATTTTGTGTTTATGCTTAAAAAAGTTATATCTTGTCATAATTCCTTGAAGTAAGGGTTTTACAGAGTTTATTTTTTATACTATTGTTCCCTCAATAAAAGGCCCAAGAGTCATTCAAGGTAGATGATTATTAAGTGAGGTTGTAATAAGGGTGTAAAAAGAGGGATTAAAAGATGAAAATGATGAGTATATGTAGAATAGATAAGGGTTGATCCAAAACTTGAAGAGATTTTACTGATTAGAAAGCATTGTTTCAAAATATTGTTTGGGAAGAAGCTGTTTGAGTGAAATTTCCTCCTTCCTAGTGGAATACAAAAAGAATGAGTTGTGTACTGGACATGTTGGGTC